AACTAGTACCTAGAGTCGAAGCAAGACTACAAAGGTTAAGTAAGTAACTACAAGTTAGAGGTAAAGGTAATGAAGTACTCACTCTTCAGTCAGTAAGGAAAGACTGAAGAGGGAGGACACAATCTGAAGTCCTTATATACTACAGAGAAGTGTCCATGACTAATCGAAGAGTGGTTAGTCACATGTACCATAGTGCGATGAATAATACAATGGTGAAAGAATTGCGACGTATCGCACCATAGGATGAGTAAGAGATGAGTAAGGCATAGACCTGTCTAGACCGTTCTGGAGTAGTACGGATTGTCCTAGACAGTACCAGAAGAGTCCCGAAGCATAGCTATAGTACACGAGCAGAGAGTCCCAAATATGGTAACATACTACATAAGCGACTACAGCTAAGCGCTAGGAGACGCATAGCCTCGTGTAGTCCGGACCGGATAAGTCCAAGTTCAACAGTTATTGTAAATCCAGCTTATATCTGAGATTAGAGTGAAGCATTTGGCCAAAGCTAGCTATGTACAATCACTATAATGGATTGAAGTCTCGTGCTACGGTCTGTAAGAGGCTTCGAAGCACCTTCGAAAGCAAAAGCGCTGACAATGGTCCTAATGGGGATGGCTTCTATACTGAATGCTCAGGACTTCAGGTTAGTCTCGCAATTGACGGCATAGAAACTCTATTAGTCGATTAGAGACCTGGAACTTACAAGGCTTCTATTGACATTGAGTCTGACTTAGCAGTTATAGCACAGCCACAAGCGCTCATGACTTCGAACATCGCCCAAGTCTCGCTGGCGCCCCGCTCTGATCCTTGCAGTGTCATACAGACACAGAATCGTGAGTATACGGTTCCTCATGCTACAAGCCTCTCTAAGAATAATATATTGAAAGCATAGACACCGGCTCATGACTGACAAGGGCGTCGTTGAATGTTTGACGACACCAGCATGCACAGATGGAACTTCAATGTGTTGTGTGTTAGTTGACTGGGCTGTCCATGCGTGGGAAATCACAGGGTATTCGGCTAGAATACTGATAATAACATTCTGAAAACAAACAGAAGCACGAGTACCAAATGGTCGACTAGGGTGGGTGGGGTACAGCGAGACATGAGGATTATAACAAGGAGGATGTGAGACGGGTATATAGTACGGAGATGTACGGTAAAAAGAGGTAGACGTATAATTGATGAGAGAATAATAAGAACAAGGGGCAGGAGAGGGACCGGACAAGGGAGAGAAAGATATGATGTTCAACACCGTGAGCTGGACACAATATATGAAGCTCCGGCAAACAGGAATGGGCGAACAAGGGATACAGATTGGTCACGTACGCCTACATGCCCTCTTAGGCCTCTTGGTCGCATCCCCGGTCTCCGACTGGTCGTCTGGCTCCGCCGGCCTTTTGCGCATGTTGACAATGGTCGCGGTGCAGCTCTGGCATACCCAGACAATGTCGTTGATGGCCTGCTCAATCTCCGAGCCCGCGACCGGCTCTCCTGCATCGAGAGCGGCCCAGAGCCACCACGCCAGTGAGATGACAGCGAGGAACATACCGTTTGGTCCACCACGGCGAACAGAATCCCACTCCTCGTCTTCTGCAGGCTGGCACCGCGCGGGAGGCCAAGTGTTCGTGTATCCTATCCGGGATGGAGGCTGGAGTGATATCCACCATCGCTTCCACCCAACGGCGTATTGCTGAGTCGACTTGACCCTGGGAAGCTTCTCGTACGACCAACTGGCCCTCAACCACATCTTGATCTCTTCAGGATGCTCCTTTGCAGACAGCCAGTGTCGACGATCCTACATAAACATGAGTGAATGTAACCTGCGAAGAATGAGTCTGGCAGGCGTACCTGAGGATTTGTGGGACATCCGAGCTTGCGCTCGAAGTCTACCCAGACCTTCACAAGCTCAGACCACCGCACACCGCCATTGATGAGCTCGAAATACTTGAGCACGTCGGTAACATAACTGGGGAGGTCTTCCTGGAGATTGTACGGCGGCGGAGGTACGTTGGACGGAGCTGAATCATCCTGCGGAACGGTGAGTGTACGAGGGGTCAGCAGCGTGAGCGAAGGGGAGGAAGTGAGCGTACGCCGGACCATAGTGAAAAGTGAACTCACGATAGACAGGGCGGAGGTTGTGTCTGGAGCTGTGAAAGCAGATATGGCGGTCACCGACTCTAAAGCTGATGAGGAGACAGGGTTTGCAGCAGGCGTGGTGACAGGGTTCGAGGGAGGCACGGCATTGTGGGTCACGGCGGATCCAGAAATCAAGTTAGAAGGGAGCGAGAGTGGAGGAATATTGGCGATGGGCGCAGGAGTCTGGGTCGCCTCAGGTGCGGTGATTTGATTCGCAAGGGGTGAGATGGTGGCGGCGGGCGTGAGGGTATCATTCGCAACGGGTAAGGAGGTAGGGTGCGAGGGGGTAGGGTTTGAAGCCGGTGCAGGAGTCGGGTTTGCGGATGGGGCCGGAGTCGAACTGGGAGATGTCGTGGAAGTAGTGGCGGGTGATGTTCCAAAATCTGGAACCTGAACCGAAGTAGGTTCCTCAATTGCCGCTTTCTTAGGCTTCTTACCGCGCTTCCTGCCAGGGGCCTTATTGACAGCCTTCGCAGTGTCGGCCAGCCCCAACGACTGCATAAGTTCTTGGTTCTTACGGATTTGTGCTTGACGGAGCTCTTCGTACGTCGGGGCACTCTCCTGTCCAACCGTCGTAGTCTGGCCTTGGTTGGACTGCTGGACGGAGGACTCTTCCGCGGCCAAGGTGAGCAACTGTGAGGCGGTAACGGGAGTGACGGCATCGGCGCTGACAGCCTGAGAAGCTGAGCTCGGCTCTGGGGCTACAAGCGCTGCCAAACCTCTATAAGCTTCCTGGACCTTTTTACAGACGTCAGAGGCTGTCAAGTGGAGAGTTTCTCAGCGCATGGAAATGCGAGAATGGGAGGGATACTGACGGAAACAGCTGACAATGAATTCCATGTAGGCTTCTTCAAATGTCGTCCAGAGTGGCGTAGCCTCCGAAAACAAGTTCCCCAGATTTCTTGTGCGCCCATGATGGAGGCTATGTACGTACTGTGAGTTATTATTCAGAAGATAAAACTGACCCCAATACGCACGACATCACAGCGAACTTGCCTGTCTCTGGACGTGGTCCGCCAACAATAATGGTGCCTTTTCACCCCGTCTGCTGTTCCAAGGACTCGAGAACACCTTGAAGGGTCTTGGGAAGGGAGTCGATGCGGCTACACAATTGTGGTAAGTCATGTCACCAATGCACAAACGCTACACTTACCCTTGTATGTTACGCGCTCGGTTGCGAAGTTCAGTCTCGGACACTGTCTCGCCTTCTTCCAGGAAACTCTCCAAACCGTAGTCTATTTCAGCTGTCTGCTCGCGAAATCCCTCCACTTCAGCCTGAACCTCCGCGGTTTCCTCGGTAAGCATTTCCTTTGCTTGTTCGATCACGAAAGACCACCACGCTCGGAGTTCGGCGGGTGGCACTGATGCCTTGTACTCGTTAAACCTTTGCTGAATGGCAGGCATGATGGTGTCCTTGTATAGCGACAGATACGCTTGGTAGGGCTGAAGTCTAACGTGTCGCGGAGACTAGGCGGGACGGCCCGAGGCTCAGCGATCGGTGCCGAGTTGAGCATAGCGTAAGACTGAGGACGTAGGAGGAGAGGGAGAGAGAGGGAATATACAAGGCAGAGGGCGGGCGACGGTGCGGACAGAGGGGTCTCACACAGTACGGCACCGACGTACCAGGGAACCGAACCAAGGGTCGAAAGGGCCGGGGCGGCACGGAGGCACAAACCTACCAGCAAGACGTAGCGGCACGCAGGCACAGGCTAGTCCCCAGTGACGTAAGTATATTGACAAGTACAAAGATACAGATAGTAACTCACCTAGTCCCCAGTGATGTAAGAGGTCGAGATGGGGACTAGGGGCTAAAGGGCTCTACTCTATATACCTGTAGACCGGTGCACAGACCATGTAGCTATTTGTACGTATTTGGCACGACCAGAGGCTTGAGGGCTTAGGTACTAGGCACGAGTCAGAGGGGTGTATGTCGTACTAACTACTGTGGGGTGATCCTTATCTAATCTAACGATCGTGAGGCCATGAGGAGGAGCGTGGTGGC